CAGACCCCACGGCTCCTGCTCCTCTCCCACCAGCCAGCACATGAACTCCCACCCCTCCAGCAGTTGGGTGCCCACAGGCTGGGTGCAGCATCCATATCTGGAAAACTCAAGTCCAGTAACTCGACCACCCCTTTGGCAGAGCCTGGAGCACCTGAGGGAATTAACCAGGGAATAGGCAAAGGGCCCACCAGCAGCTCACTGCTTCAGTCCACAGAGGTGGGTGACCACATTCTGCTTCCAATGGAGAACAAATGGGTCTGTAAAACCTCTGCTTTCCTGATCCTGTGCCCTCTTGCAGCCCTGGTGTGTCTATAATGCACTGGACAATGGTGCCCTCATTTCGGCAGGAAAAAGAGATAAACAAGGGGAAATTTTCTGGGTTGGACAATGAGGCTTTTGTCCTGTGATGGGCTCTGTAATGATACTCCAGATCCTTTCTCACCCATCAGCCAGGGTCACATTGTGCTGCTGTACTCAAAAACAAAGTTGCTCTTCTGCAGAGAACTGGTCATTGGAGAAATTGGAAAAAAATGAAGCCACAGAGCACACACCTTCCGTGCCTCCTGCCCTACACTGCTGTGAGGCACGGTCAAGGCAGGACCCCCACAGGTTTCTAGAAGGTCCAAGAAGAGCTTTTAAACTCCCAAAAGTCTTTCCCATTCCCTTTTTCTGTCCTGGCTCCTCTTCTGTCTGCAAATTGACAGCCAACAGTCTGCACAGGGACTTTGAGGCTTTCCAGCTCACCACCATCACACGGATCCTGCAGATGATGGTTGATTTGGGACATCACATTATTTCCCATGGCAGTTGGATGTGATGAATAAGTGCTGAGGATGTGGTGTAGTACAAAGGAGAAGCTTTGAAGAGAAACCAACCTGATACATTTACTCACAACCCAAGGGCAGCATTACCCCTGAGCCAGCAAACCTACCAACTCCACAGGAGCCACCCCAAATCCACAGGCAGCAAATGCCCATGGCCCCTCCCTGGAGGCATAGAGGAGGGTAAGCTGTGAGGTCCCCTGAGATGGGCAAGCACTTGGCCCATCATTCCTGTATGAGCCTGAAATGCTCTCCAAGTTCATCCTTAGGCACTGAAATGGGCTCTCTGGGTTTGGCCTGACAGTGGAGGGTTAAGCACGTACGTGCTCACATGGTCATCAACACACAGGTATGGGTCCTACTCCCCAAAAATCTGCTCTAGGCTGTGTGTGCAGGACCTGGGGTCCTGAGCAGCCAGAACAGCCCAAGTGCTTGGAGCAGAGTGCAGCAGGAGCAGGGTGCAGCAGGATGCTGGTACCAGTGCTGGCTGGTGAGCCCAGTACTGGGGTGTCATCCTCCCCTGGGCTCCCAGTGTCACCCACACTGAGCCTCGTCCTCCTGCCCCTGTTTGCTGCACTCACAGCCCAAGAGCTGGGTGAGGAACAGCTGCTGGTGGTGGGGACAGGCAATAGGGACAACACGCCATGCAGGGACACCCCTCCCCTGCTGATGAAACCAACCCAAAAGTGGGGTTTTGTTGCAGGGTACTAAAGCCTGGGGAAGGTGCCAATGCTGATATCGGTTCTGATATCACAATTACATGGTATTTCCTATAACCTTGCTCCTTCCAGGAGGTTCCCATGAGTTGCAACTCACAGCACTGCCCTGTCCCACAGCAGCAAGGTACCTTGGAGACGAGGCTGGCCCGGTACGCGGCCAGAGCTTTCAGGTACTCCTTCTTCGCAGCTTCTGTTTTCCTCTTGTATGCCTGAAAGGACCAGGGAATGGATAATAATTAGAAAAGTAAAACACAGTGATGCTGGGCTTGGCTGCAACCTGCTTGCTCAGTGAGATCCCCTCCACTGGGGCCACGTGTACGAAAAATTCCGCTGGAGAGGAATTTACCCCAAACCAAGAACATAAACCCCTGGATTGGATCACGCTGGGATTTTGGGAGACACCACAGGTCAGAGTAGTCTATGTGCCTAGACAGGAATTTATACATGTCTGCTGTAAGAGACACAGCCTGATTTTACAAGGTGAACTCAATGAAACCACTTCCCAAGAGGAGTCAGGGCAAAGAATGATCCAGGCTCTTGGAAGAGCAAGACAAAAGCCCAAATCCTCAGATGACAAGACTATCTTTAAGGCCAACTCAACTCAAACCATTCTATGACCCTATGATGATGACTAGCTTAAAAACAGGTGAGACATCCAGAAATCCTAAACTATCCATTTGTTTTCTTGGCTCTCCCATTATTTAGAGCTCAAAGCTCCAGCTCTTCTCTGCAGTCTGGACAGCAGGGAGCTGCTTTCTCATCATAGAAAAGCTGAGATTTTTGGCTAATCTTAAGACTTGTTGAGCTGGGGCTTGTGGGAAACAGCAAGTACCAAGAGAGTTTATTTCCCTAAGAAAAAAACATAATAAAGCTTTTTAAGAGTGAATTATTGGTTACCCTTCCATCTCTCCCCATAATGAGAGATGCCTCATGATGGTGTGCTGGTCCCCTTTCTGCCCAGAGCTTGGTCCTCCACACATGGAGATGGAGGACCTCCAATAAAATAATGGTGAGATCCTGCATAATCATGGGGTTACACAGATTAAACTGAGTGGGAAGAATATTTTAAAATGGAATAAAAACTTCAGGATAAAGGCAGAAACTCCCAAGAAAAGTACCCACCAGCCCTCTTCCCCACTGGAAACTCAAAACCCTCCTCAAACAGTGCACTGAATGTTGATTCCTATTAGAATAGATTTGCATACATTTAATTTGGCTTTAAAACCAATGAGAGCTTTCAACAATTGAGATGCTGAAGCTTCACAGGCACATCTCTGTCCAGGATGATTTACACTGGATATTAGGGAAAATTTCTTCATGGAAAGCATTGTCCAGCCCTGGCACAGGCTGCCCAGGGCAGTGGTGGAGTCGCCACCCTTGGGAGTGTTTAAAAACCACATGGATGTGACACCTGGGGACATGGTTTAGTGGTGGCCTTGGCAGTGCTGGGGGAAGGGTCTGGATGATCCTAAAGGTCTTTTCCAACCAAAACAGTTCTAAGGTTCTATGATTTAGCTCCTTGGCAGCACCCCCCACTCCCTCCCAACATTGACCTCGGAAGGGAAAATAACCTCCAGCAGTCAAACTATCCAGTTACCTGAATTTAAAATCAGTACAGATAAATTCTATCAAAAAAAGGATTGGAAAGCTTTATTTTCATTGCTAAATCACAGCAACTCCTGTAATGAAACTTTTTGACTCGACACACTGGAGGTCTCAGACGGTAATTTTCTGAAATGGAAGCGTTTCCCTAAGTTTGTCTTCGGCTTTATGGTATTCAGGAAATATTATATTTGCTCCATTCAGAACAAAACTACATTTCAAAATGTCAGCCTGAAGAAGAGTTTGCCTGTGAAAAGCAACTATTTCTTCAAACTGTATCAGTTCCCTTAATAAGAGCTATTACCTTCCTCTACAATCTTCACATCTTTTATTATAGAATCTCAGAATGACTTGAGTTGGAAGGGACCTTAAAGCTCATCCAGTTCCACCCCCCTGCCACGGGCAGAACACCTTCCACTAGATCAGGTTTGTGCCTGCAGCAGCAGCACCAGTGCCACCACCACAGCATGTACTGTATCCACCAGCTCTGCTGTTAGATGTTCTTAAATGTGGTACCCAGCTCCTAAATTTGGTACCCAGTACAGAAATGAGATACGAACAGCGGCCTCAGCTGGGTGCTGATGTATTGAAAGCATATTTAATTTTTTTTTAACTCTGTAATATCAAAATACAAGGGTCTTTTCTTTTCTTTTCTTTTCTTTTCTTTTCTTTTCTTTTCTTTTCTTTTCTTTTCTTTTCTTTTCTTTTCTTTTCTTTTCTTT